GTCTTGTTCAATATATTCATCAATGACCTGGAGGAAGGGACAGAGCACACTCTCAGCAAGTTTGCTAATGATACTAAACTGAGGGGAGAGGCTGACACACCAGAAAGCTGTGCTGCCATGCAGAGGGACGTGGACAGGCTGGAGAGGTGGGCGGAGAGGAACCTCCTCTCTAGCTCCACAAAGGCAAGTGCAGGGTCCTGCACCTGGGGGGAATACCCCCACTGGCCCAGGACAGGCTGGGGGTTGACCTGCTGGAAAGCAGCTCTGCAGAGAAGGACCTGGGAGCCCTGGTGGACGGCATGAGGCAGCAGTGTGCCCTTGTGTCCAAGAAGGCCAGTGGTCTCCTGGGGAGCATGAGGCAGAGTGTTGCCAGCAGGTGGAGGGAGGTGGTCCTGCTCCTCTCCTCAGCCCTGGGGAGGCCTCCCCTGCACTACTGTGCCCAATTCGGGGCTCCCCAGGACAAGAGAGACATGGCACTCCTGGAGAGAGTCCAGCGGAGGGCTACAAAGATGATGAGGGGCCTGGAGCATCTCTCCTATGAGGCAAGGCTGAGAGAGCTGGGCCTATTCAGCCTGGAGAAGACTGAGAGGGGATCTCATAAATGTCTACAAGTATCTGAAGTGGGGGTGTCGAGAGGATGGGGCCAAACTCTTCTCCATGGTGACCAGCAGCAGGACAAGAGGCAACACAGAAGGTTCCATCTGAACCTGAGGAAAAACTTCTTGACTGTGAGGGTGACAGAGCATTGGAACAGGTTGCCCAGAGAGGTAGTGGAGTCTCCTTCCCTGGAGATATTCAAAACCCGTCTGGACATGACCCTGGGCAATATGCTCTAGAGGACCCTGCTTGAGCAGGGAGGTTGGACTAGATGATCCCTAGAGGTCCCTTCTAACCTGAGCCATTCTGTGATTCTGTGATTTCTCCTTTATGAGATTATGACTGTAAGCTATGTCTTGATTAGAACTACTTTTTCAACGTGTGCTTTCCACAGTAATAAATCCTCCCCTTTCCAAAGCTATAATGAATTAAATAGTAGCTTCCTGAGAGATTGTTAACAGAGTTAAGTTCCTAGAAATGAGATCTATTGCCAGGTCCTTCAGTCACATCACATATCTCTGAAAGGGGAAAAAGTAGTAAGTAATTGGCATTTCAAGTTTATATAAAACACATAATATACATGCATAATATGCAATCCTATCTAAAATACTTTTTTTTCCCTGAAGGCTGATAGTAGCATGTCTTTCTAACTTTTTTTTTATTTTAGTGTTGCAGGTTGACATTTAATTTTACTGTATGTTCTAGAAGACTATAAGAGACAGCATAAATTCACTTACTACTAATGATTTTTTTTCCCAATTGTTCTGCTTTCTCACCCTTCTTTTGAACCTTTTCTCCTTTCTGAATATTGTCCTCAGAGACACCAGTAGGCATGTTACAAGGTTTTTCTTATCAATTGCAACTAATAAATTTTCCTCTGCAGATTGTTTCCAAGTTGAAGGATGAAATTACTTTGATGGAGAGAGAGCACAGTGACCTGCAGTTGCACATTGCAAGAACGGACTGGTGGTGTGAGAATCTTGGCATGTGGAAAGCCTTCATAGTCTCAGGCGAGGTATGTTTTTTCTAGGGTTTTATCTCTTGGGTTAGTTCAAATTTCTAGTGTGAAAAGAAAAACAAAAGTCTGTGTGTACTTTCAATATACGTCTGTGTGCACTGCGGATACTTCTGTGTTTACCTGAGAAAAAATTAATCTCTTCCAAGTCCCTCTCTTCCCCTAATCTCTGCTATAGCACATATACAAAAATTTTAGTTCTCAGGTTCTGTTGTTACGGAGTTACAAAAAAAAACCTGTATATGCCTGAACAGATTTTTGCATCAAATATAGTAATGTGCTCTCTGAGGGGCATTATTTTTCCTCAGTGAGCATAGTCAGCAGTGTCTTGTTATATTACTGCGCTATCGTACTTGGGCACAGTTGTGTCTGGTATGCCTGGAAGATGCAGTATTTATGCTTGCTGTGGTTTTTATTATGATATTCAATGGCAGTGTAGTTTCAAGGGATTGGAATACCCAGACTTTGAGGAAAGTGCTTCAAATCTATGAGTAAGTCGCAGAACAAGGTGGGGTTTGTTTTGTTTTGTTTTGTCTGTTCTTCAGTTTGGGCACAGGCAAACAAGTGTAGAATGAATGTATTGTGGACGGTACCACCTGTGTATTTGCTTGTTGACCAAAAATATTATAACTTTATTTTATTTTATTGATAGGATGGTAAGAATTCCTCATAAAGGCAGCATAGTGTGGTACTTGTCAAAACTGGTAATTGAAAGATTATATATAAAGATGTTACTCCGTGGTGGTCTTCAATGCCTGAATTTGAAAAGGCTTCATAAATCTTCCTGTTTGTCTTTATTCTTCTGTAAGTAGGTTTGTTTCATATTAAATAGAGAAGTATTCTGAACATTACAAATACTCATGTGTCCGCTGAAAGTAACATGTCAGTGATGATATCCATGTAGCAATGTTGTTGCCCAACTGGAAACCAAAAAGGTAAAAAACAAACAAACAAACAAACAAACAACAAAACCCTGGTGGAGACAACTATCAGAAGTATTAGCAGTGTCTCCTCGCATCTCTCAGCTTCCTATTAAGGACTGTCCAGAAAGGAACCCAACAGATGCTTGTACTGTGTAGCAACTGTAGGTTCGTGCCGTACGTAAGCAGTCTTGATGGCAGTACCACTTCAGAGAATTAAAGGTTAACATCGTCTCTAATGGGTTGTCTTCCTGTGCTATTAAGAAAACATTCCTTTAAGTAAGTAAGTATAAGTAGTTTCCTTGAGGTAATTTTCCCGGGGGGGTGGGCAGGAGTGATTTGATACGTCTTGATCTCCTACATGCTAACAATAACTCTCTCAAAAATAAAACTTACTGACTGTAAAAGTAATCAGTCTAACAGGTTAAAACGTAATGTGGTATTTTAAAAACTAAGCTCTTGGTGTTTAAACTTTTGACATTGTTTTGACTTTTTTTTAATGCTGCTCGCAGGTGACCCAGCTTAGAGCAGTCAAGCTCTTAAGTTGTCTTTAAAAATTCTGTGTAACTTTTTAAAGTGTGTTTTTTTTAAAATAGCAGACCATCTGCTGCGAAACTGCACAACAGCAGCTTTCTGCTACGGGTCACAGTCGAGCGCTTCCTTTATTATTAAATGAGTAGGTGGCTCTGGCTAGCGCCCTGCTAAATGGCAGAGAGGTTGGGAGACAATTCTAATATGCCATCACTTACTATCTTAACTGTAATTTTTAGAAATACTGGCTCAGGTAATTAAATGTAGGCTTGTATTAATAGCGCTGTTTGCAGCCCTGTGCTGCAGGGGGAGGGCTGGAGGAAGCATTAGTGGTGCAGTTTTCCTTGTTAATTAATTGCTTAGGCATGTTCTGGCTGCAGTGGATCAGTTCAGGGGACATAAGCAGGTGACTTATTTTTTTTAATCTGCAAAATGCATTGTTGCTAATCCTAGCTTTTAGTCTATGAATTTACAGAGGGGAAAACTCGGTGGCCCGATGTGTTTTTTGCAGAGAAGCTTAGTAAAAGTAAACGTTGCTATAGAGTTGGAGCTGAAAGAGTAATAGTCTGTCATTGACATTTTAAACTGATTTGTTAAATCAGTTAGGAATTAGTTAGTAGGTAATGCATAAAATCTACATTTACTCATGACTTGGGGAAAACATGCAGTGTCCCAAATGTAGATTGTACCATGTCTTAGCTTGCATCTTTCAGTCTTTAAAGTTTTGATTCATCTAAATGCATGTAGCTGCAGGGGCGGGGGAATCCATACAAATCGTATAAGCTATAGGTGTTGTGTGATAACTGACTTTTCTGATAAACTGTCTTTGGAGACTAAACGTTTTGGCTGTTTGCAGAGCCTGGAAAAAGACTGTAAGGGCATACAGCTTGAAGGAGACTTGTGATAATGCTTCATATAATTCTGTGCACGATTTCCCCAGGACTCTTACACCTTCCCCCAATACCAGCAGGTGTAAAACTTGCACGCTAGCTGAGAACCTGCTCTTCCTGCTTTAATGTTTTTGGCCTTGCATCACTTCATATTTTAGCAGATGTTCTCTCTCCTCTATCTGAAGAAAGAAGTCTCAGTTCCGGAGCATAACTTGTTTTTAATTGATTTCATAAAGAATGGAGTTCATAGATTTGAATAAGGTAGAAAGAAAGGCCTGTCGTATTCATTTAAGTATATCTAAATTTAGGATGTGTACACTGAGTGAGAGTTAAGAAAGTTAACTTCCTGTGAACTGAGAAAAATAGAGGTGTGCCAGATATACCTTCTGTATGCTTTCTGTTTTATAAAAGGGAATTTAAGCCTCAGCCTGGTTAGCCATTATTTTACTGCTTCACAGCTTGGGTGGATTGTTTCAGGGAGCTGCTCTGCCTGAAAGATGCTTCTGGTGAGTCATACAGCTCTTCACCAGCATAGCAACAAGGCTAGTTTTTGTTAATATTTAATCATTCCTGACGGATGTCTAGACCAGCCTTTAATGTGCCTCGAACAGAGGTGATTCAACAGCTCTCCTTGGCAGCTTGTTACTTTACTGAACTATTATTATAGTTTTTGCTAATGTTTAGTTTACGTTTTCCTTACTGCAACTAATAGCTATAGCTTCCCCTGGAAAGTATTTCATAGTAAGTGTTTCCTGTTTGTTTTTGCAACGCTCCATTTTATGTTTCTAGTAGGGAGCATCTCTTTCCTGGTAGGAGGTGCCCACCTCTGCTGCACTCCTTGTAGTTTTTACTAATGCATGGAGGAAGCCATTTGAACATCCTCATTCATATCTCCATCCTACCCACTTTGGGACTTGGTGCCTTCTAGCAAGTAGGTATAAATCTTTGCTTTTTGCGGAGTAGGAATCTGTGGCACACTGGTGCTTATTCAGAAATAATTAATCCTTACGTTGTCTGTCTTGAGGCTATAAAGTTAATGCAAATGGAAAAAAAAAAAAGTCAAAAGTTGAAACCACGTAGGATATTTGATGGCTGATTCCTTGTCACGTAGGTAAGTGTGCAACCTGAAAAACTCGCATTTAAGCCAAAGAAGGGGGCCTAAGAAAGGGCTGAGGATGAGAACTGTGGAAATCCAGTCTTAAGGGCTAGTTCTGAGAGCTGTGAAATGCTCATCACAAGATCTTCGAGCTTGTAAAACCAAATTCAAAATAGTGTTAAAGCAAAGCCAGAGAGTACCAATTTCCGTTTGTGGTGGTATGCTTTTGTAGTTTCTACTTAAAAAAACAAAAAGTCTGCGTACTTGACCTTGTCATCCCTCAGATTCTTGTGTATGCACAGAGCCTGCTAAAAGCTGTACCACATTAAGGGACTGCCTTGAGACCTGTTGTAATTAATTGTTTTCATTAATGACCAGAGCACAAATGCTAAGTTTGCACTAATGAAGAATTAAAGGTGGAAGACAGTCCCAATATGGAAAAGGGTTAGGATGGTGCTCAGAAAGAACAAGTTTGTGTGTGTGGTTTTTGTGGGTTTTTTGGAGTTTTTTGAGAATATTCCTCAAGGTCACAAAGAAGGAATAATCAGTGTAACAGGTAGGGGCGGTTTCAAAAGTGTTGACTGTCCTTTGACAGTTATAGTTCAGGTGCTCCTGTGCACATGAAACCCCCTTCCCTGTGGAGAAATGTGTAATGCAGAATAAAGTACGATTCAAAGCATCACTTTCCCCCAGTTTTGCAAAACGGCTGCAAAGAGACGTCTGCAAGTCACTACAGACCCGCGTCCAAACTCACTCGGGGGTAAACAGGGTAATGACTTTCCCAGAAATTCCCAGTCCCTCTGTGCCAGGTCCCTCTGACCTACATTTTGGAGGCTTCTGTTCAGCATCTCTTTTTGCAGCAGTCTGGCACGGAAAGGAGAAGGGCAGTTCCCCAAATAGCTGTGCTTGAAACCAGGCGTGTGTTCAGAAGTGCGAACTGGTGCTTTGTATTCTGTGTGGATGCTGCTGCGGCTCTAGGAAGAGTGCATTGCAAGGAGTAGTCTCCTTGTGCAGCTGGGCAACTGTGAAATGAAGACATTTAATTGTATGTCTTCCACAATGATGGTGTAGCAGCTCTTCAAATTATCTGTCACTAGCTTGAAGGGCTGTCAGACTTTTTATAAACTTCTCATAAGATTGGATTAGGCAAATCTTTAAAAATTGTCTGAAAAGTTTAAAAAATATGGTAGAGCGAGAAAGGTATGCTGCGATTAGTGTTCTGTTAGTTGCATGTATATTAAAACAAGCATTTGAGATTTTGGTTTGGCTTTAAGTTTTAGTTCTCTGTAGATGTATTCAATGTCACCGCCACAAAAAGATTGAAAATTTGCCTTTTAAAACAGCATACTATCCTAACAGAGAAATGAAATTTAAAGATATGGATGCTTTTTTAAAAGTTTATTGTCTTCAGGACACTTCTATGTGAGAGCTATACAGAAATAAAATTAATAAGAAAAAAAGCTATATATTTTATGTGTTTGTCTTACTTGCCTTTCATAATCTATTTAGCAGTCTCTTTAAAATAAATAAGTAAAAAAAAAAAAAAACTGTTGCCATTAGGACATAAGGATGACATTGCTGCTGGCTTATGAAGGTAAGAAAGAAAATGGTCACACTGCTGCTGACTTTCTCTTGTCTCAAGAAAATCATTTGACTGCTCTTTGCCATAATCTCCCTTTTTGCAAAACGCGGTTAATCACTCGTACTTCCTCTGGCTATTGTATGTCTTAATTCATTAGCATCTGCAAAGGTCGTGAGACCCTTGGAAACCGTGCGGGATGCCATGCACTGTGTATGTGCAGAATAGGCTCAAACCCCAGTGGCAGACAAGGGCTCTCCAGGCAGCCCCAGCTCCTGCAGCAGGATGGCACCTGGGAAAGCAGAGTAGGAATAAAGGGAGAACAGTCAAGAAAACGCAGAGGAGGAGAGCTGAAGTATTGATAAGCAATGGGAAAGGTATGTGATAGGTACCTTGAAGACTGAAATAATGCAATACAGCTGTTTGAAGAAGACCTGTCAAAGAGATGTGATTGCTGATGGACAGTATTGCAAAGCTGTTGGTAAAGTGTAATAGTGGCTAATTGGAGGACTGATTCAGGACTGACACAGCCTTGTGGGTAAAGTTTAGTCCATTAAGGGTATTGCTCTGTGTGTAGCCAACAAACTGCAACAAAAAACACGGCACAGTGACAAAGACTGAATTTGTACGCCAGTCATCTGGCAACCCAAATGTGCTGCTCTTTGCTTTCAAAGTAATATACCTTCTCTGTTTCTTTTTCTGCAAGGTTTTAGAAGAGAATGGAGAACAAGTGCCCTGTTACTCAGTCATGGTGAGTTTACAAGAAGCTGGTGGAGCTGAAACTAAGAACTGGACTGTTCCCAGGAAGCTCAGCGAGTTTCAGAGTCTACACCGGAAACTCAGTGAGGTATGAATCCCTTTTAGGGAGGGAGAGGGAGAAAATGTAAAGTGCTAAAATATGTCAATATAGTATTTGGAAAGGAAAAACCCACCAGAAAGATAGATAAAATTACCAGCTTTTAGACCAGCCTTTTGGCTTTTAGACTTAGCTTTCCATGCACATATTTCTGGCCTCTGCCAGATGGTTGTAAAATAGCTTTTTTTTCCCCCCCACTTACAAATAGATGTTTTACTGAACTGAACCAATGTCCAAATTGTGTATACTCAGCACTGTTATGTGTGCCTGTTCTAAATACTAGATTTTGTCTCTGGCTTCAGGGAACGTGCCAAAAATGGCAGCCCTCTGGGAAAGAGGGGTTTTCCTTTTAGACTGCATTAACCTTTCTGGCTGAAAAAGAATACAAATCTAAAACCTCTGCTTTCAGAAAGCCATCATTATGTCAGCCCATAATGGGTAAGGGAGGGTGTTTGTCAAGGTGCTGAATGGGGTGTGGAAAGGTGAAGAGAGTACAAAGGAGTCCTTTCATTTGCATTTTGGACCAGAACCACTGCTAACTGAGCTGTTCTTTCTCCTACACAGTGTTTTCCATCATTAAAGAAAGTTCAGTTGCCTTCCCTCAGCAAGCTACCTTTCAAATCTGTAGATCAGAAATTCATGGAGAAGTCTAAGAACCAGCTTAATAATTTTCTGCAGGTAAGAAAACTGTGGAGTAATAATAAAAGTACTAAAAGTTAAAAAAGTAAACTATATGCTCACCTCTTTTGTGAGGTCCTCAATTGTTTTCATTGCACACATTGTTTCACAGTCATTCCTAAGATTCTGTCTCTGTATCTCATCCCATTTCTACATCCGCTGTTTGGAGAATGCTGGTGCAGTAGTTGTGGTCGTCTTCTCCCCCCCCCCCTGTTTGTGAATGCTTGGTCCTTCCATAACATTTTATGCAAGTCTCTGTTTCTGAGCAGCTGCTTCGCCCTTTTTTCCCTCTGTGGGGCCCTATTGGGCAGTTGTAGGCCATTTTTTGCTCCCTGTTCTTTCCAAAGAGCCTTGATGTGTCATGTACATGGTGCTGTTCAGGGTGTCTTTGTGCAGTTGTAGGTCAGGTCCATGAGGCAGATCAGAGTGAAAAGTGCATGTGTAGGGAAGTGGGATAGTAGTTTCCAGTAGGCTGAGGGTACCCCACAGTATGTTTCTGCTTTGCCTCATTTGAGCAACACTAGTGCCTCAGCTTGTGTTCAGACTGGAATAAAAGCAAGTGTGTGCTGGCTGAAGTTGAGGGAGGAGACGACTGAGGTGATGATGGTGGTGAGTTGAGAAGGAACTGCTGGAGGTGAATACTCACTCCTTGTCTGAAAGAATATAGTCACCACCTATTATAAGGATTTGCTGCTTAGCAGTGAATGCAGAACCCCAGGAACCGTGGGATGATTGTGTAGTGAGTGACCTTGTATTTTTACTGTGTGTGCGTGCTTGGAGCGGAAGCCTTTTTTTTGGGGGTGCAGCACTTGTTGAGGCTGGAGCAGATGGTAGCAGCTTGGTCAAGAAATTGAACTCTGGGCAAGAACACATGGCCCGTGTGTTCCAGGATCTCTGCTAGGAACTGGTCTGTCAGTGTGGATTGAAAGCTTTGACTGACTTCAGGTGGTTCGTCTGAGAGACAGCTTGTCCCTCTCTTATTTCAGCTACGGTCTTCAGAGACTTTACAACAGTCCTTGTGGGGAGTCAGTGGCCCCCAGCTGTGTTCCCTCTTGGCCCTGCGCGGTCCAGATTTGCTCTGTGACCAGGGAGTTTGAGAGGCCCTGTGCAGAGAGCTGAATCTGTGCCTCCTGCAGGCTGAAGGGAAAAGTGGCTTGCTTTCTGCCTGGCTGGGTGACTGCAAACTAGGCTAATCCTGCCAGAACTTGTGTAAATTTAATTGAATGTGTTGTGTGATTACTGTTTTTAGAACACCTAGAGCCTCAGGGGGACAGCTTCATTATTTAATTGGTTTAATTTTAAAATAAGAGATACTTTTAGGAGCAAGTGTAATTTTGCTTCTGGAGATGAATTTGTCTTTGGTTAACACCTACAATTCACAAATGCAGTATTTGCCTTTTTTATGGTAGGCAACCTGTATTCAATATGGCTGCTTTTTAAAATGGATGACACATGTGCATTGGTGGATTCAGGCATTTGGTAGATAGTAGGCCGCTGGAGAGTAGAAAAGTTACAGTTAAGAAAAAAGTAGTTGAAGATATTCATCAATATGAAAAGCATTGCATTAGACGCTAGAGTTACCTTCCTAGAGAGCTTTTATTCTTTTGCCAGCGGCTGTGGTATAACCAAACATGGCTATAAAGAAGTCAAGAATATTTCTCTCAGGGTAAAGTAATTGCTCATGTGGAATCTTTCAGAACTAGAGTGTGGCTGAACTGGAACGAAGCACCTTCATTCTTAATATGAACTCTACTTTTCTTAGCCTCATAATAGGATTTTAGACTTAGACAGGTCACCACCTGGTTGTTGTGTCAAAAAACACTGTCTTAGAAGAAACATACTGAAATATATCTAGGTAATTGTGAATCTAATGGCTTTTTCTTTGCTGCTGTCACTGTCCTTCACCAAATATGTAAAATGTAGGTGGCGAGTTTTATGCCTCTCTCGTGCCTTCCTTTCTGTTCCTGACAGTGCCATATGTCCCTTGCTCCCTGGTGGTTGTATCCCTGTGGTTATCCATGTTGAGGGTAAGAATGCTAACATGAGCAAAAGCAACTTTGTAAAAACAGCTTCTCCTCACTTGACCAGTGAGCCTTCTGCATATCTCCCACGTGCAGGAGGCCGTGGGCGAGGGATCTGTTTTTCCGTCTAGGTCATGGACTGTTACTAGAAGTGTTCTTAAAGAACAGCTTGTCCTGTCCCGTCAGCTGAAGCAGCTTGGCAGTAACCCCACTGAAGTTTAGCGTGAGAGCTTGAGGCAGTCTGTGTGTGCGTGTTTGTTCTTGGCAGGGATGCATGAACTTAAAAGAACTTGTGGGACAGTTGAGGAGCTGGGCTCATGGCATGCATATGCCGAGTTCATGGCATAGACCTGGAGGGTGGGATTCCTGCAGCCTGCTTTTTAGGTGCCTTATCTCTGTATGCAGACAGATGGGCACTTCCGGGGTGCATTTGACTTCAGTCAAATGCAGATATCTAAACAGAAATGAATCGTGCATCAGGGAGGTGTTTCTCTCCATTGACAAAAAGAGAGCCTGTAACAAAGAGCTCAGCTATAAGGGCTGACACTGTAAATGCCAAAGTTACCTACAGTATCTGAAGTTGATAGAAGTCTGGCTGCTAGTAACCATTCCTCTAGTGGTAAGTTAATTGGATCTTTGACTAATTAAGGAGCAGTAAATAACAAATTATATAACTACTTTAAACTACAACAATACTTCGCAACAAGCTTCTTATGAAATGGAACTCTTTATTTAAAAAGAAAGCTATAATGTGAAAAACCCTAGTAGTGTGTGAAAAGGCATAGAGATATGTATAGTTATCATGCTGTGGTACATTTGTCAGACACGGATTTTCTTTTTTTCCTCGTTCTCTGAGCCATGTCTTAATCAGTTTTTTGGATGGCCTGATACATCTTATCCTTAACAACTAATATTTAATTGATGTGTTGTTTCTTTCATTATCTTTCTTTCCTAGAAATTGCTCTCTGATGAAAGACTCTGTCAGAGTGAAGCACTTTATGCCTTCTTGAGCCCTTCCCCAGAGCACCTCAAAGTTATTGATGTGCAAGGAAAGAAGTCCTCTTTTTCACTCTCATCATTTCTGGAACGACTTCCTGGTGATTTGTTTTCTCATCAAGAGGTAAGTGGTAGAAAAGTAATCTTCCCAGGTTCAATTACTTTTCCAAGCTAAGCAGGGAGAGCCATTAATATAATACATTTGAATGGCAGGTTATATTGCAAGGCATTTTCGAAGATCTTTAATTTACTGGAAGTGAACTAAGAGTCACAGATAAAAGCTGTCTGTGAATTTAAAAGATGTTTATTAATAAAAATAAGTTGCCTTCCCTTTGAGAAACATATATAGGTAAATGTGTAACCTATCTATTGCAAATTAACGAATCGCAGGCTCACAGAATGGTTGAGAGATTGGAAGAGACCTCTAGAGATCATCTAGGTCAATGCTGCTGCTCAACCAGGGTCACTTAGAGCAGGTTGCCCAGGACTGTGTCCAGTTAGATTTTGAGTGTCTCCAAGGATGGAGACTCCACAACCTCTCTGGGCAACCTGTTCCAGTGCTCAGTCACCTGCACAGTAAAAAAAGAGGGGATTTTTTAATGTTCAGATGGAACTTCATGTATTTCAGTGTGTGCCCGTTGCCTCTTGTCCTGTCACTGGGCACCACTGAAAAGAGTCTGGCCTCATCCTCTTGACACCCTCCATCAGGTATTTATACACATCAGTAAAATCCCCCTGAGTCTTTTCTTCTAGCTAAACAGTCCCAGCTCTCTCAGGCTCCCCTCCTTAGGGCAGATGTTCCAGTCCCTTTATACCTTCGTAGCCCTTTGCTGGACTCACTGCAGTATGTCCACATCTCTCTGGACCCAGCACTCCAGATGTGGCCTCGTCAGGGCTGATTAGAGCAGAAACATCACCTCCCTCGACTTGACCTTTCTGGTAGCGCTCTCTCTAGTGCAGCCCAGGATACTGTGGCCGCCTTTGCCCCACGGGCACATTCCTGACTCATGATCAGTTTGTCCACCAGGACCCCCAGGCCCTTCTCTGCAGAGCTGCTTTCCAGCTAGTTGGCCCCCAGCCTGTCCTGGTGCCTGGGGTTATTCCTCCCCAGGTGCAGGGCTCTGCACTTCCCTTTGTTGAACTTCATGAGGTTCCTCTCTGCACGTTTCTCCAGCCTGTCAAGGTCCCTCTGAATGGCAGTGCAACCCTCATCCACTCCTCCCAGTTTTTTATCATCTGTTAGCTTCCTGAGGGTGCATTCATTCCCATCATCCAGGTCATTAATGAAGATGGTAAACGCTATTGGCTGTGGTGTCGATTCCTGGGGTGCATCACTAGCGACCAGCCTCCAGCTGGACTTTGTGCTGCTGCTCACAACCCTCTAAGCCTGGCAGTTTAGCCAATTTTTAATCCCCCTTACTGACCGCATATCTAGCCTGCGCTTCATCAGCTTGTCTATAAGGATGTTATGGGAGACAATGTCCAAAGCCTTACTCGAGTCAAGGTAAATGACATCTACTGCTATCCCCTCATCCACCAAGCCAGTCATCTCCTCATAGAAGGCTATCAGGTTGGTTAAGCACGATTTCGCCTTCATAAATCCATGTTGATGACAATTAATTGCAATCTATGTGGGACTATTTAGTTTTATAGCAAATTTCCCCACCTTTTGTGCTGTAGATTTATGTATTTTAGAGGATTTTTGACAGGTAAAAATAATTCTTTCTTAGGAAGCTTCTTGTGGCAGGGAACAGCTGTGTCTTTCCTAGCTTCTATCCAACTTCTGCTGCAAAGCTCATTTTGACAAAAAACGTCTGCAAACGGTACAGACTTACAGAGGGAATTTGGAAATAAAAGTGGGAGCCCGTGTGTCTAAACTAGTTAGATCATTTGATATCAAGCCATAAAAATGCAGCAAAGAATAAATCGGTGATTAAAATAGCTCATTGGCTAAAAATCAACTAAAATTCCATGTTTCCTGTGGTTCATGTTGCAGATATGCAAGCTGCAGGGAGCTCTCTCCTTTCTCTTTCTTTTGTTATATGTTATGTAACTTCAGGAGATCAGTGGTGAAATAATTATTTTATTATATGCTGTAGCTGCCTGGAGGAGATGGTCCTTTTGCAGGATAAATGGAGTCTGGGAAATTTGTACAGTTTTAGTCCCCTAATAGTCAGAAAGTCTTGCCTCTCTCAGGAATAAGAAAATCCTATATATTTTTATTTTTAAAATTGCTCTGTATTTGTAGCTAAATAGTGCATGCGTATGTTTTATTTCAGAGTTGGCAGAAGTGCTTATTCGGTTCTTCTACTAAAGGCAAAAGAGTGTTATTTTCACTACAATGGCTATTAGATAGGAACAGCGTGAAGCATGGAAGTATGAAACTATTTGTATTTTGCTATTTAATTGAAAAACACGCTAAAGAAAAGAACCAGACTGCCTATGTGTATTGTATTATGTGAGTGCTTAGGAGGAGATAGTTAGGAAAAATGGGAGAAGGAAAGGAGAATGTAATGAGAGCGAATAAAGAAATGAGGAAGCAGAAATAAAGCAGCTGGTACTGACAAAAATGAAGCAAGGAGTAGAGCAAAAAATTCCCTAAGAATTTTGAAACAGATAAAGGAGTGAGAAAATAATGTTAAATTAAAACTGAGTAAGAAGTTATTTCTTACTTCCTATTTGTAGGACCAGGAACTTAATATTGGCTAGACTTTATTATGCCAAGCACTATGCAAATGCAGATGAAGACTATCCTGCTTCACATCACCTTCCCTCTGCTGTCCCCTTCTCCCCCCAAACTGAAACATAAGATGAGCAGACAGAATACAGGCGGGCCCTGTATTCTGCAAGAGGGAATGCAGGAAACTATTTGACCCTCTGCATCAGTGCAAAGGCTTGTCCCAGTTTAAAAATAAAGTGAAATGGAGGGAGAGGATTTGTGAGGGGATCTGGGATTAGCTTTTCTTTTTCTTCTGACACCCCAGGCTTTTAGTATGAGCTGTAGACCAGCTCAGTCTTGCCCAGGAGTAGTGTTTGGGATAGTTTACTAATGCACTTTAAACTAGGGTTAAATCATTTGTTATGTTCAATCACATACTACAGGACTGTTACAGTTGTGTTCTTTCTGTATGTAAGAATTCCTGTTTTATTGTGTATTTTGGACTTCATAGAAGAACATGCTGTCTTACAACTTTTTTACCTTCTAAGTCTCATCTCACGTTCTTCAAATCTATGTTAGACCAGCAATATTCCCCCTTCAGTGCTGCTTTCAGGATTACAAACTGCCGCAATTTGAGGTCTCTGTTTATACAGCTCTTCCAAAAGAACTGTGACCTGAGAACATGCTCTTACCTCTCAAGACCGAAACCAAATGAGCAGAAAAATAGAATTGATACTGTGTAGAGCAGGGCATTTCAGGTTTATGAAGTGTCAGTGGATAGAAAATGCACTGTGACGTAAGAATTTATACTTCCCATTGCATTTGCCAAGTGAGGGGAGATTTGTTGAACTGCAGAAAAACAGAGCAGGGACTTCAGAGAGGCCATCAGGTTCTCCCTCCTGACCCAAGTAGACTCAAACTGAACCAGCAAAGTTCTTGGCACGTGTTTGTCTAATGTGTTTTTAACAGTGACTGCTGTTCTCCAGCCTACCAAGGCAGTGTATCCCAGTTCTCCACAAGCGTCACAGTTTGGGACCTTTTCTTGCTACGTGACCTAAAGCTCCCTTCTTTCACCCTCTAGCTCTTGTCCTGTCCACAGCAGACACAGAATGGTCTATTCCCTCTCTTCATAGCAATCTTTTGTGTGTTTGGTGTTTATCATGAGGTATTACTTTCCTTTGATCTTTCATTCTTTTCTTCCTTGTACTGATCATTCCTAGTTTCTCCTCTTTTTTATATTAGGTTATGTTTTATTTAATTCTTATGGCTTTGCTTTAGACTTTTCCAGTTGAGCCATATTTTTCTTGGAAATGTGGTAACTATAACTTGATTATATGGTGCTCCCTCTAGGTTTTACCATCTCATGTATGACAGTTATTATACATATATGTCCTATGGACAATGTTTCTGCTTAAACATTGTGGTATTACACTTGCCTTTTCCACAGCAGCGTGGCCCTCAGATCCTTTTCTGTTGAATTATCAATATTGATTATTTCATTTCCTGCATTTACAGAGTTCTGCATCCATCCTTATCAGTCTGTACTGTGTGTTTTTTTTTTTTTTTTAGATCATTTCTTGAACTTGGCTAGACCATATAAAAATGTAATCTTGTGATCTGGCAGTCTCCTTGCTCCTCTCGAACTGCTGTCACCTACAAATTCAGAAAGGTTATTCTCTGTTCTGTTGCCCAAGTGCCTAATGAAAATATGGAAGGTGTCCATTATGAAAAATTAAATAAATGATTTCATGAATAATGAAAATAATGAAGGGCAAAGTTGGCTGTTGACCAGGGGAAGCTAGTGAACAGGACTTGTAGTGTCTAGTTTGCTCTAGAGACTGTCGTTGGAGTAAACTGTTTGTTGTCAGTAGATTTGTGTGTTTGTATGGTAAGATTGGCAGCGATTTGTTGTTTCCAAGTCAGTTGGAAACCACGTATTTCTTGTCGATGTGGTATGGGTTGTTGTCCCCTGCCCTGCTCACAGCTTAGCCTAACATTATTAGAAAGTTTTAAAAGCTGGATACCAATCAGTCCACCGAAGTCAGTGAACAATGGAGCGTGTCTGGGAGTTTACAGTGCACTTCCTTGCTGTGGGGTTTTTCTTTCCCTTTTCTAATTATGAAAAGAGAAGTAGCATCTCTAGCAGCGCTGGAAAAAATGCCAAATGTGACACAGGAAAGGAAAGTTACAGGATGTAAGTGGTAGGCTGTGCAACACTGGAGTTCTTTATCCATACACTGTTATGCAGTAAGATTCAGGGACTGGAAATGTAGCCAATGATGGGCTTCAGAGGAGATCTAGAGGACATGAGGAAGGAGGAAGACAGGAACTAATGTACAACTGAGATACTGTGGGATACACTCCGTATAGTGGGGTTCAAATGACAGTCAAGGGATAAGTGAAAGACTGTGACCGTAAGAAAAGCAAAGGAAGAGACTAAAATAACGCAAGAGAAATGAGCTATGAAGTAAGTTTCCCAGGCTAGAAGATGAGAGAGGAAAACTAAGCAATGTTAGATATTGGAGTGACAAGGAAACAAAGAGGACGAAATAAAAAGATAATGGAATTTTTTTTAAAGACCAGAACTGAAGAAAGAGAAAACTTGTCTGCACGCCGTTGATCATTCCTGAATAAAGACTGGGAAAGTACACCAACCTCAGCGTGGGTCAGGTCTACCTCGCTGAGTTTTGCTACTAACCGTAGCTGGGCAGGGCAGGGCAGAAGAAAATAAAGGGGCGTGCTGGCTGCTGCGAACAAGGGCAGGTGGTGCAGGCCTAATGCTGAGGCACATGTTGGTGACCCTGAGAAATAGGCCACTGTCTGCTCTTTGCCCTGGAATAAACGGTACCAACAAAACTGGTGTGGCTCAATCCATTCTTCTCAGGTGATCCTATTCTGAATAACCCTGCTGCCCTCAGTATTTAAGCAACTGTTGCAGTTGTGTTCCTCTCTTCCCAGGAAGAAACAGAAGAGGACAGTGACCTGTCGGACTATGGAGAGGAGGTGGATGGGAAAAGGGACTCTCTCGCAGAGCCATGCTTCATGCTGATTGGAGAAATTTTTGAGCTGCGAGGAAGTAAGCTGTACATTTTTTTTATTTGTTAGTCGAATCTGTTAGCCAGGAAATCTTGGGCATTTTGAAATTTGGAGTTTTCTGCTATTTCAATGAGTGGAAATATTTTCTCAATCCAAAAAGGTAATTAGTTTGAAAAAGAGCTGTTTTGCAGTGGTTCATAACTTCCACATTTTTATTCTAAAGTTTACTGCAATGTCTTATTGGAATTTAAGATGCAACTGGTAGGGGAGGGGATTTGCATTCAAAATTGTTTTGACTTCTTTCATCAAAAAAAAGAGATTTCTTAAAAAGAAGCAAGTACCAGTGCCCGTTTTCTGAAAATAGGCTGCATATTAGAATGAGTAAATTATGAGGAAAGAAAAAGTAGACTGCTTTATCACAGAACATGTCACTGACAAAGCAGCATGATTTTAATATCCATTGTAAATCTATTACGAAGGTATTTTAGTTCTATAATTCGTGTTAGGGAAATGATGTTAGAACCTTGATGTCTTTCAGTACCAGATTTTTTTTTCTCCTTACCTAAGTGAATCATGGTAATGAAAACAACTATTTTTGTATCTATTTGAAGGTGTAGCCACACTTAGCGCTGTATAAAATTATTTACAGAGCAACTATTCCAAAATGCAGCACCTTCCAAAAAGTGGCAGATGTATCTCCCAAATACGGGATTTTCTTCTGCTAATGGTGAACGGCGTTGAAAGAAAGATTAACCAGTAATTACTAAGAAGCACTCAGATTTCAGTTTCCTTTATTTGTAATAAAAAGCTGACTGCTTGGTTTATTCAATTGAAAATGTTTTCAGAATTTTAATGCTGCTGCTGTGTATATGACATTATACTAGTCAGTAAAAAAAAAAAAAAAAAAAAAAAGGGTTTGAATTTTGAGGTGAAGTTTTTTTGTGTGGATTTTTTTTCCTAGTATGAAACAGGTAGTTGTGCAGTTTAATAAACTTGAAATATTATTAAACATAAAAGTTTCCAGTATAAACTGCAGCTGAATGATACAGATTTTTCTTTTGGCTGTGATCGTAGGGTCCCTAAAGTTACTAAATTCCTGATCTTCATTTTCTGTCCTTTTTCATTGTTCCAGTGTTTAAGTGGGTCAGAAAAACCTTGATTGCACTAGTACAAGTCACTTTTGGAAGAACTATCAACAAGTAAGTAGCTGTTTACTTTAACTCTGAGCCTCAATCATTGTTGTAGGAATAGAAGACTGAGAGCAGTAGTATTAAAAATAATCTGGACATTCTGTTGTATATGATAATCTGCATTTGTTTTCCACCCCTCAATTTACAACTACGTGATGTTGATTAGAGGAGATATGACGCAGATGAGAGTTATCTTTCTCCTCACTTAATCTGTACCACAGTCCCCAAACCAATTTTTTCTCCCACAGGGCTTTCCTTTTTGAAAGAACAATTGTGTTTCATGGGAGACAGAGAAAACTATCAAAAGAGGATGCTTTTCTGTTTTAGGGTTTTTCTTTTCTTTTTTTTTTTACTTAAGAGAAGTAGCCCTGCATATTTCATAATTTGCTGTCCTGTTTTTCTAAACAAGTTGGCCTGGGATGACTTTTATTAGCTTATATGCTTTATCCTAGAGTCCCATGCAGATTTTTCCCAGATCTGAAACTGTATTTGTTTTAGATTATTTATTTCAAATCAAATATAGGTTTCTCTGAAGTGACTGAAATAATTGAATGGTTCTCATTCTGTAAAAACACTACAACCTGAAACTAGTACATGCATAACAGAGTGATGGGTTTTCTTAAAAATATTTATTTCTGTATCATTTGAAGATGTGTGCCAAATGAGGTATAGAGGAGGCTGAGAAGTAAGTGTGCATGTCGATACATAACTTTCATGTGAAAAAAATCTTCTATTTTATTGGTCAGATAAATTTTTGGATATGTCTTCTGCCAGTTGCAAAGGCCTATGGTAAAACCCTTGATTCAGTAGTGCAGATGACTGTTGTGAATGCATCATTTCCCACAATTCTTCCACCAATACTGATGCTCTCACGTGTCATGGTGGTGATGTTTTTTATCTGAAAGTCTGAATGTGTGATTTCTATACTATATTCACATTAGGCAAAGGAGCACTGAGGACCTGATGAAATGTGTTATTTTTGCTTTGGCGTAACAGTGGAACTATTACTCAGGTAGGCGTCACGGCCCAGAAATCTAACAGCAGAACAGGCTGTTCCTTCAGCCATTCAGTGGCTAAATTGCACATGCCAGCATTGCTGTTAACAGCCTCTCACGGATGTTATGAAGTGGTAAATTGGACAAGGGCTGGAAACTCGCACAGTTGACTCTTGATGAACTGATGGTCTCTGACAGTATCCATTTGCTGAGTCTTAAATTGATCGGTTCATTTGTTCACACACTGCAGACAAGTAGCATGAAAGACACACCTGAGAGAGGGAGACACTGCGCATGCATGCACAGTGGTTGTATAACTTTTACATGCTAGTTGAATGTTTACATTTAGTAATTTTAAGGGTTTCAGCTGTACTGTGGCATAGTTAGACCGTACTGCTGTTCTTGGAGCTCGCTGTGTACATCAGACTCTTTATGCTGAGGACTACAGTGAGGGCAGGTAGCTGCAGAAGGAGGCTGCGACTTCCATTTGTAACCCACCTATTACTGTGCTGTTGGTTTCTGTGAGGGATCTTACTGCACTTGTATCAAAACTTCATCTGCTTTTATCCTAGTGAGGACATCTGTGCACACAACCAGTTTGGAGTCTATCCTAGATAGTTGGTTGGGGGGGGGGTGGTGTTCTTTTTTTTTTTTTTCCCTTTCTTTTCCTCGTGGAGCCTTTACACAGCCACCCCTTGAAATATATGCAGATTTACAGATTACATTGAAATGTAGCCTTCTCCACATCTCAGTCAGGCATGCAGAGCAACCTAGATCTCAGAGCACCTAGAGTGGAATAAGATTTGCCGTGAGGCTGGTGAATTAGCTGAGATAAATTGGGGTAATTACATGAAGACAGGCATTGCCAATTTCCACTGCTTCTAGGAGTAGAAAGAATAAATCTGTATAAAATCTGAAAGACAAACTCTGATGTGTTCCCTTTTACACTTGTTACAGGCAAATCCGTGACACCGTACATTGGATGTTCAGTGAACCAATGCTTGTTTACTACATTGGTGTGTTTCGAGATGCTTTTTGGCCAAATGGAAAGTTAGCACCACCATCAACAGCCAAAACTGAAGAGCAAAGACAAGAGACAAAACAGAGAGCACAGCAAAAACTACTTGAAAACATTCCAGGTGAGAACACTTCCATTTTTCTGCTTAATCACAGACTTGACCAATAAGGAAACTCGTTAGCCAAATACTGTTCTGCTGCATTTTAGCTTTTTTCCTCTAGAGTTTTAAATTCTGCTTATTTGCATAAATAAGCATAATATTGGCCTTACCTTTGTCTCTCCTGTCTCCAGCTGGTAATAGTCATGGACTCGTGTATAAGTAGTGCATATAAAATCAGCTGTCAGTGTACTTCTGTAAGCAATATTCACCAAGGAGCATAAGACTAAGGACTCTGCTACTTCTCAGTGAGCAAACGGAAGGCAGTTCTGCTACCTCGAACTATGTGACATAGAGGGCAAGTGGCACAACCACCATCACTTCTTCGTCTTGTATTTTCACATGGAAGAGGGAGGTCTGCCCACATTGTTAGTGGATGTTGCTTTTTATTTCTGAGAGAGGTTTCAGGGCACTGAATGCTAGAGGGGCCTTAAGATTCGGAGTGGGCTTTCCAGTACCTTCCCGTGCCTGCTCTTCCCTCCTGAGCAGACTCCAGGTGTTCGCTCTTCAGCATATGTGTTTCTGGATGACTGTCCCTTCCCCTTCACAGGATAGGAGTGCAGTTACATAATTTTGGCTCTGTCTTCAGAGATTAGGTAAACCCAAAGGCACCCAGCTGGGAAGAATCAAAATTTGTTACATTAGCTCTTGAAAATGTGCTTAAACGTGGCTTGAATTCCCTGGGTTTTATCTCCCTACCATGTGAACAGAATGCACTTACATGAGCTATTTTATGTCTCCACTGGACGCCTTGTATACCCTCGTTGAATAAGGTTTTCGTTTGTTTTGTTTTAAGGGAGTTTCATCAACATGTACTATATTTTTCAATGTGCAGAAATAGCAGAAAGTATGCAGGCAAACTATTGGTCATTTGATGTGTAAACAACCTTCCATTTGCTCTTTGCTATTTTATGTACTCGCCTGCTTTACTCGAATAACATTCCACAGTTGTTTTGGCATTAGGAGAGATGTTTTAGGATAAAGCTTTTATACAGTGAAGCTAAATGAACCTGAAGTTAATGATGAAGCATTAGGTTCACTATTTCCTCTCCACTGTAATTTAATCCAAACTGTAAATATAAATTCACTTAGCCTCTTATCTGCCTCATTGTGAGAACTGTTTTCTGTGACGACTGAGAGGAAATTAAAATGTTGAATCCGTTCTAACTGTCGTAGGACTTTTATCTTTTTGGCCAAAAGTGTATTCGTGTGACTGGTTTAATGATATATGAGACTATACTAAAACATATAACCTGTTGTTCTGTCTGAAGATGTGTATGCTGCTGAATTTGGATTACTGGAGAGAAAGGTATCGCTAAACCTGTGTCCTAAATTACCCATGTGTTTTAAATACCTTGCTGCATGGAGACTATGTATCTTCTAACCATCCACCATTAAGTACACTGTTTTTATTCTTCCTTAGTATGTATTTGTTAGCTGGATGTTTTGCCTGGTATGAGTGAAACAATTTAGGCTAAAGTAACATTTGTTGCAGATACCCTGCAGAGCCTTGTTGGACAACAAAACGCCCGTCATGGTGTAGTCAAAGTGTTCAACGCATTGCAAGAAAGAAAGGCTAACAAGCATCTACTCTATGTAAGTAACTGGAGAGGTACACCTTAATTTTATAATCCCACTAATCGCTGAGCTCTACTTGCTCAGTAGTAAAGCCTGGGTGTGTTTCTGCAGAGACCTATATCAGACGATTGTTCTAGGTTTGCAAATAACTTCTCTTAGTAAAAACAAATCATAAAAATAGGAACTCAGGTCATCATTTGACCAACTCAATCAAGAGAAGCTGTTTAAAATATAATATTGGTTTTGTCTAAAAGAGATCCTCTATCATATCCAACTTTGCTGACTTCACAAGGTGCATACTGATGTCTTCATATAGCTGAGAGAGTTAGACATACGTGCTTACATACCTTGGAGAACCCTAGGGAAGAAGAGCGCCAGGACCGGCCCATGGTTAGGAAATGACAGTTCTCCAAAAGTCCCACTCCTTTGCAGTTGGTTGGGAGTGGGCTGGGTACACTGCTGGACCTTAGTATACTACTCTCGCTTGCAGTCAGTCTCTTCTGACTTGTTTCCTGCAGCGGCCAGGCAGGTAGTGCAGCCTCAGCGCAGGAACGGATGCAGCTTGCCCAAGGAGGCCTGCAGCTAAGGAGCCTGGCATGCCTGCCCCCCCCAGGGCTTGCTCACAGAGCTATAGTGGCTTTGGCGCAACAGCACCAATTAATGTAGTGTGGGAAGTCCCCGTTTGAAATCAGCTGCCTGTGGCACTCACTCTCTTTCAGCCCTCTCTTTCTAAGACATTACTTACCTTATCTACAAGGTGCACGTTACTCTTAGGTTGAAAGAAAAGTAGTTGCACAAAGGATGAACAAAATGACCCTATGTGCTTCTGTTATCTGTGATGTTCTGAGCATGTCAGAAAGGAAGAAAATTCTCATTTGGCATCTGTATTCATCTTAGTCTTTTCTGTTTTTCAGGTCTTGCTGGAACTGCTGCTAACTGAACTGTGTCCTGAGCTAAGAGCTCATTTAGAGCAGCTTAATGCCACTTAGGTTTGAATCTACACATGTGGACCACTAGAGAAATGTCTATGTGCAATAATAGACATGAAACTTATTTTCCTCTTTTCCATAGAGGGCTGAGGACTATGATTATTTTTAGGGTTTTTTTCCTCTTACTTTTTTTGTGAAGTAAACAGACTTGAAAAGATCTGATGCTGTAGTAGGGTAGACAAAACAATGCTGTATAGTTGCCAATTTTTATTTAAATTGTTCTATTTGACTACTCTTCTGTTTCAAATATAGATTGAAAAATAAATGTTCATATAAGCTGAAAGAAACCAGAAAATATTTTAAACATTTATGAAAGAAAGTTTTGCTTATAGTAGTAAACTAATGAATGTTGTACAGTTCTAATCTCCTCACTGAGGATTTGAGCATTCCTTGATTCTTGTGTTTTGAAAAAGCCTTGTTGTGCAATACTACATGTAAAGCTATTGTGAAAATTTTATCAATTTTGTTTTTACCAAAGATTTCCCATATGTTGAAGCATTTGTAAGCAATAAATAACAAAACTGGATTTCAGTACTTGATAATTAGGCTGTACTAACAACTAATGAATGTGTTTGACAGCCCTAGTTTCTTAAGGAATACTTACGTTACTTTGAAGTCTGCGTCCAAAAAATGTATTGTAAACTGGTATGTCATACCAGAATGCCTGTGTTAAATGTTTGTTCCAAGGTTAGTGCTTACGAATTGCTTCTATGAATGATTAAGTAGACATTTAATTAAACCATTGTAACTGCACCCCTGATATTATTCAGGGCTGTTTTATTCAAATATCCTATTTGGGAACAACCTTCAAATCTTTCCCTTATTTTATACAAAGGAAGGGGAAAAAGTAGTCTTCAGTGTTTTTTAATTTATGTAAAAAATATGTAAATATTGGTCAAAATGCACATCTAAATAATTAAATATCATCAACATCCATAGGTGACAATCATTATTTTCTTTTTAAATTGCAGGTGAGACTGGTATAGTTCAAGTTACACAAATAAAATCCACGTACTGTTTTGAAATCCAGGTTATTAATAACCGCTAGCCTTCTCCTGCAATAGAGCCATAAACTTTTCACGTCACAGAACAGTCCTAAGCAGCTAGTCAAATTTTCCTACACACATGAAGCTTTTATAAGTAAATAAATAATAAGAATTGTGTAAGCTTGCCATAGCAAGCCGTAAAATTTATTACTTGAAGTATCTTCTGATAAAAAGATTCAGCATACCATTGCTCAGACATACATACTCCTGACCAAAAATTTTTCAACTATTTTTAAAACAAAAAGAGGTAGTGTAAGTGCAAAATGAAGAAGGACCGAGAAGAACAGGCCTGGAGCTGAAGATATATTCCCTAATGCTTCCATACTGAATGGTTGTTTTTTTTTTTTCCTATAGTTAGTTCTGTAAATAGGATTTTCCAGTACTAGAAATTGGCATGGTTTGAATGGTAAAGCTTAGTGTCATACAGGCTAGTTTCCAACCCTGAATCTGCAGTCTAAAGGTACAAAATATTAGGACACTAGTAGATTCCAGATTAGAATGCATTAGAAAAGCATGTGCGAGCAAGTATATACACCACTAGCAAAGATGACATTTAAAAATGGTATTTAGCATAAAGCCATGATGTGAGAATGGACTGTACATGAAAACCAGACATGTTAGGGTTCAAGCATTTCAGAAATATTGTATTTAATATTTATATATTAAAAATGAGGAAAAGGAAATAGTTATTTGGTTTCAGTTTGATTTATATACTATAGAGCAGTGTTTCATTAAGAAAACACAGGGAGTGGATTGCAGTAAAGTGTCCTTCATGTACCTGAAGTCTTCAATACCAATTTTAAAAAGTCTGCCTTTGCTACCTCTCAGTTAAAGTGAGACTGTGCGCTTTTTGTCTTTTTAAAAATAAAATATCACCAAATTGTTTTATGTAATAATTTATAGGAAGTTGAAAACCAAGCAGTAAAGGATGACCAGTCTATAACTGCTGATTACAGATGGCTTATTGTAGGAAACATGTTTATGCACCAGCCATAACTAAAGGAAACACTAAATTCTCCCAAGATTAGCTTTCAGTTCAAGGTCAGAAGCAACATCAGGATCCAGAAGGCATGCCTTTGAAAACAAAGAACAGTGAGTTCTAGTTTATAGCTAAAATCAAAATTATGTTGTCAGTACAACACTACAAAGGTCTTTTAATTTGTAAATTTCATTGATGATGTCTGAAATAATCAACTCGTTAAACTATTACAGAATTACTGTATTCAGCTTTGAATCCTTGTTTCTGATGTCACATAAGGAAAATTCACTAGGTATACTACTTAAAATGGGCACATTATAGTAGTGTTAGGCTTTGTTTTTATTTCTTTTATACTGTTACTCTTTGTTGGTATGGTATGTGCTGGCACTGCAGTCAGAAAGAGCAATCTGCTTTATGGATTGGCTCAGTTTCATTCACTCCCATCTATTCCAGTACTCTCTGGGACACCTGTCTTCTTTTCCTTGCCTCTGTTAAAGCTGAGTGGGCCTAAGAGTGGTAGGCCCAAACTGCAGGTGAGCAGTTATTTAAAAAAAGCAAACGTTCCCATTTTAAATGGGCATAATTATACAATTAGTGATGAGGTTATTTTCCAAAAACAAAAATCAAAAGAAAATGGACATCCCCACAACTCTTATCTTACACTTGTTACACTTGCTACACTTAGGTATTTTTCTTGTGTATTTGGTCTGTCCCTTCTCTCCCTTCTCTATTGGTGAGTATCAGATGAAAAGACATAGTCCAGTCTGTCATCTCGTTTCACAGTAAGAAGTTAGTGACCTTCCTAGGTAAGTCTTGAATGTCCTGCCAGGGACTGATGCCTGAAAGTTATAATTATCTTTCGGTTGTGGTGGTAATTCTAGACTAGGTGAAAGAAAATGGGGAATGTAGTGTGGTCATGTGGAAGCCATGCAGCAATGAAGTCCTGATGCCCCTCTTCCATGCCTTAAGACTTAGGTAGGACTGCTGGGTACAGTAGTCATAAAAACCCAGTTTATATTCCCTTCCTTCCCTGACCTCTTCCTCCTATCCTCCATAACACTTTTCACAGAAGGAAAATAAAACCATTTAAAATGTATGTATTGATCACCTGCTCTGCTAGCCCTCTTTTATCAGTGGTTTCCCCAAGTAAGCCACAAAAGTTGTTAGCTGATAACTTATCATTTGATTAGTTCTCCATTTATTTGGATTTCCCCAAGCTGGACACTGAAGTAATCTATTTACAGAAACAAATGATCTCTACGTGCAAACGGAGATCATAGAGCATCTTTGAAGCGTAAATCCTGTCTGCTGTACTCCCTTCTGTTAGCATAAGCATCTCACCTTGGCTATACCTTTAGGCATCACTACTTGAATTTAGAAGATTCATCTTCTAGAAGCTGTTACTGAGCTTTTTCCTCAAGCAACAAATCTTACTTGAGTGCTTTAAAGAAGTGACCTATTTTTGTTCTCTGTGTCTCAGTAGCCGTAGCTTCCCAGCTATGAGTGAAAGTGTAAACAAGAAAAAAAAAGTGAGAAAACCCATTATGATCAATTTAAGTGTCATTAAAGAAGGCTGTGGTGGTCAGAATAAAAATTATGTATTCTGACCTGAAGTAAGATCTGTTGCTTGAGGAAAAAGATCAGTAATGGCTTCAAGTTTGATTTTTCAATTTGAGAGAATGATAAACAGCAAAGCAGTCAGGGATAATACCATCCGAGTTACTTGGTAACTTTCAAGATAATTTAACTAAGCTTGTTGCTGTGATAATTACCATTGAACTTTCTTGGTTTGGCTCAATGCATTGTTTGCTTATGCAAGTGGACAAACAGTATCCTTCAAGGCTATTTTTAGTTATTTTGGATATTTTTTCCCCTATATTCTTGCACTGATTTTTTTTTTTTTAGATAATTAATGTACAACCCTTTAATGTAACCATACAAAAAAAATGTAGAGACTCAGATCCAAGGCATCACCCGATCTCATAAGTTATAAATTAGTTTGTAAGGTTTTCTCAGCTTACCCTAGAATAGTATTTTTTAGCAGCAGCTTGATCTTGTTGTGTGCCTAGGCCAAGCTGGAGACATCTAGCAAAGTAGAAAGCAGCCATAGCAACCCCTTTGGCTACATATACAGGAAGACAATCAGTTATCTTTGCTAGCATATCAACGTTAACATTTTCTGGAATCCTGTTGTAGAATTTACAGCATTAGGTTAGAAAACAGTATTGCAAACACCAATTTAAGTCAACTATATAAATGGAAAGGAGATATGTCAAGTGATATGAATTTATGAATTTACATTAATATATGAATAATAAGAGTTCTTTTTCCAAGAAAAATACAGTAATCCCAAATAAACTGATGAACCATTCAGCAGGCTGAACAGGATTCTTCAATACTGGATTTTTAATATTATTTAATATTATCACAGTATTTAAGTATCAAATATGTAAGTTTTGCAGTCATTTTCACTACATTTGCACTAGTTATAAAAGACACCATTTTTCACACTAATTGTTTCTGTTAAAATGTGTGCATATGTGTGTGTATATGTGTGTGTGTGTGTGTGTGTGTATATATATATATGTAGAAGAAAAGCAAAGCTTTTGTGTCATGTGTCACATTCCAAGTTCTTAATAGGATATTGGCAGATCATAATCTGAAAATCCTGGGCATACTTTAGGGCCCCAGGTTATAAGACCCACTTCTGAAGAGTCTTTGCAGAATTCCCCAAAGGGAATTATTAAGTTTTCTTGAATTGGCTGTCACTCAACAATGATTTATTTTTAAAAAAGCGTTGAATCAAATTTAAAAGCAAAACTCAGTGCTGAAACATTAGACTTCTGATGCAGGAATGTTGAAAAGGATTATTTGACTAAAATTAAGAATGTTTCAGCTCACTTATTTTCTGCATGCATCTGTTGGCTTGCTATCACTTTTTTTTTTTTTTTTTGCAGTATATAGCTATTACTAAGTACTGCTTTGGAGAGCTAGAGGGACCACGTGAACATTATTTTAACTCTCAGGCTGTAATGAATACTAGTAATACTAGTAACAATACTAGTGTTATTGCAATATTAGGTACGGTACTTCTAAGTGGAAATGGAATGGTTCTAACTGTTGTCTTAAAAAACAGAAACCCCAAGCCCCCGCATCCTTTCTAGGTACCTAACAGTAATTATATGCTTTGCTCTGCATTGTTTTTGTTGTTTTCTATGTCAAATCATTGCAGACTTGACAGAAAAAAGAAGTGTAAGTCATTTCAGCTTATAGCCATTCCCTATAAATCAATGCTTATGAATGAGTGTTCTGGGGCACCCCTCTGCAACTCAGTGCCTGCTAACTCACTTGCATGTTGACTCCCAGCTAACAAATACCAGTAACACAACAGAAAACACAAAGACCCGTTAACAAAAACATTCAAGTTCAGTAACAGCATCCAGTTACCTCTTATCTTTCTTGATACTGCATTTTGCCCTGCTTTTCAAAAGCATATATAACAGGATACTGATGCAAATGATATCCAGTCAAATCAGGCAAAAGTTCTAGTTTAGCACAGTCGACTTCAAAAACATACCAGAGCAATGGGTGAGTAGAACTATATGCAATAACAAAATTCTTGCTCAAAGGTAAGAGTATCAGTAGCTAATCTGGACTCCAAACACTGGGCAATAATATACCATAAACACACGTAACGTAACAAAATACTTAATAGGAACATAGAAGGCCAAAGGAATTTCAGTAGAAAATGCAGCTGGTTGAGCTGCTGTCAGCTGTTACTTCAAGGCCAATTGCTATCCCAATTAAGTGGAACTGTTTCAAGCATGGTGGCAGTAACTTTTGCTTCAGAAGTTGTCGTACTGGCTACAGTATGAGATTTCATTGCTATTTTCTGCAGTCAATCACAATTGCAGGTGATGAAACGCACTGTCTATTTGTCAGGATAATCTGCCATGCTGCATTGCCTGGAGGACACAAATTCCAAGTGAGACTAGCTACACTAGACTGAATAGCTGCCATTCTATTTACGGTGCAAGAGAAAGAAAAGCATCACATTCTAGGAGAAAACAATCCTTTTCAAAAAATGAGTACAGAAAACATTCATTGCTGAGCTCCTGTTGAATCACCAGAGCTGCTGCTGCTAGGCACTGGCATATACAGGGTGGCAGCGTCTTTATGAACATAAACTAACATGTTTTGTAATTGCTAGGCATCACAAACATACCATAGAAAGGATGAACAGTATTGTTTGCTGGTTGTAGAAGTAGTATAGCTGTATTTTATTTCTAGCAAACTAATAATCTGATTGACGGATTGAATTTGTAACAGATGCTGACCAAGTTTGGTAGGCTGTTTAACAAGTGTGCTGCTTATCAGCCATAGACCTGGCATCGAGATTGCTTTTTCTCCTCCCCTGTCTAGTTCTAGATAGGGAACTTTGACTTGATAATGTTTTTTTTTTTTTTTCCTCCCCCCCTCTCTCTTTTTTTAATAGTGCAGCTAGTCTGCACAGGTCACTGTTCTGCACTACACAAACTACTCCAGTGTACGTAGGTACAGAAGCTTCCCAACTGCCTGTAGTTTGAGTCCCAGAGTGACTGCCTGTAAAAAGGCCAGTCAGAGCTTGCCTAACACACAGACCAGCACTGCCGTGCAAGCAGGTAGTCACAGGAAACCACTCACATGCAGATGCCTCTTCTGTGGTCTAGGCTTCAAAAATGCATATGGTAGGCCTGTAAGTAGCAATTTATGAAAAGCTAAAGGGTAGTAACTTGGCCTTGTGTACGGCAGCTACGCCTCAGTCCCAGCCCATGCTGCTCCCAGTCCTTACTGCAGGAACCTGACCAGCACCAAGGCCTACACCTCCTATAAAGGACACAGAAACGTGCCCAGAACAGGGTGAGACAGAGAGCAAGGAAATGATGGGGATGAAGACAGTGGGTAGAAATTGTATGAAAATGGGGTAAGGTGGAGAGGGGAAGAACAATACTTGTGGAGGTTTAGAGTGGGATGGAGAAGGTAGTAGCCTGGATGAGACTGTGGGCTGAGGAAGTAGGAAGGCAGGGTAAAGTCTGTGCACATAATTGGGATTCTAGTTCAAGTTTTGCTTCACAGGATCAGAAAGGAGAGTCCCACTGTACTGAATAATTGAGATTCTCATAATCAGTCTTAATTTTGTCTGCACTTTGCTATTCACTTTTTAAAGATGAGATCTTGCAATTCATTATCTCAAGTGTCCCTTAAGCTTAACGGACATCCATAATTATTTCCATCTAACTTTCATGGTCTAATATGAAGACTTATAATAAAAAATAAACCAAAATTAACTTCACCTTTTGGCTACTGCGACAGCTGTTGAGTAAAATTTTCTCTTATAATAATATTCCACAAGATGGCCTTGAGCATAGATGTTTCCACGTTCTGCTGCTTGCTTCAAACACTCCACACCAGCCTTAGTGTTTTGACGTACACCTTGTCCATAGAGATACATAACACCCAGTGCACCTTGTGATTCCAGATTTCCATTGGCGCATGCTTCTGAATGCCAGAAAAAGGCCTAAGCAAGAGGCACAAAGTTGTTTTCTATGTATCTCAATTAACATTTTGCATTACTTAAACAACTTTTTAATTGGGAGTATATTTTCACTTTCCAATTTAAAGCCAGTTATCTCGCGAACTGTTTCCACAAAAGCTTTTTTACACCAAACAGCCTGTAAGAAGTGCTTATACAGAAAAAGATGCAAAATCCCCTTAAGGTTTAAAAACTTGCTTCACTTGCTGTCAGAACTGTCAGTCAGCCACAACTGCTTGATTTCTGAAGGGTACCAAGGTTGGCAATACGTGAGTCCACTCTATCCTGCAGCCAGATACTCCCACTAAAAACTTCTCAGCTAACTGTCAAATGAGTCAAAATGAGAGATTCTTTCCAGCCATCTACTCATTTTGGCTTAAATGAATGCTAATGTCTAGCAGGACTTAAAATACACAGTTTTCAGAAACAAATATATCACCATAGTCTTTCTGTGAAATCCAAAATTAATTGGGGCTGATGAAACTCAGAAGGCACAAGCAGGTTTACCTTTTCCAGATCTTTTAGAACTGGCATAGAGTAAAGCATTCCTAAAGTACTCTGGGCCTTTACACTTGCTTTTGGATTCCCATCATCGGCAGCAATAAGCCATAATCTAAGAAAACAGGGACAAAGGAAGTTTAAGTAGCACTGCATCGCTGTATCTTAAACTCATCAGGAAAATTACTGGCTCTGATTACCTTTCAGCTTCTTCAGTTGACTGCTTAACACCACATCCTTCATAATAAGCTCTGCCAAGATTGTATGCAGCTGCAAACTTCAAGTGTCTTGCTTTTGGGGAATCAGAGTTGATTATTTTCCTCATGTATTCCACTCCCTTTTCCTAAAATTGAGAGATTTTAATTGTTAAATTCAGATTGGGAAAAGGACCGAAAAAAGAGCCTGAAAATCCAATAAGCTATGTAAGACAGGCAATTTTTCCACTCTTAAACATCTCTGTACAGTATGTATGGATATCAGAGTGACAGTGCAGTGCTTCTAATTTTCCTAAACACTTTCCACACTTCTTACTTTTTTTTATATAGATTCTATTTTTGTCCAAGTGGAAGTATGTATCTAACAGATTATGCTGTGTAACTACATAACATAACATAGCTACGTTAACATTGTGTAGCTATTGTCCTATAAAATAGACAGCTTAAATCCTTACTTTAGTTTTCAGTGCATCCATGAAGGATGACTCTGACCTCTTAGGGCCTCATCGTATCTACTACCTATCTTGCATTACTTTTGGAGCACCTGAAGTTTTGGCCCTCTTTTTAGCAAAAGATGCTAGCCAGTTAAAATTCAATTAAAAAAAAAAAAACTGTTACAACTGATTTACTGTATTATTAAGCAAGCAGTATGTCACCTGTGCCTGTACAAAATCTAACACACCTCTACATTTTCACAAAGGATGCTTCCCAGTACCGGTATCTGCATCAGAACTGTAACAAAAAGTTTTTAAGGTGCTTAAATAGTTTAAGAAACCTATAATGGGATAAGGAGTTTTTTTGCAGATAGGGTTATCCGTTCAAATTCAGAAGTTTTATGGTTTCATATATGACCTCAGGGTTATTCCTATAATTAGCATAATTGCTAGCAGATTCAAAAAGAAGAAAACAGGTGAATAGGAAGGAATTCCAAGACAGGGCTGAGGCACACTGATAGGTCAGTCTGAAACACAGTGTCATACCTACCAAGGCAGAACTGATCTTTGGTTACTAGACAGCCCCCCCCTGCTTTTTGACACTAGCATGTTTTTAATGCAAAACATTTCCTTGTAAATGTTCATCTGATATTATATTACTCTTATTCATTGATTTAAAAGTGTACCAAAAAATATCCTTGTGCTTACACAAATGATGTCACATCCTAAACACATTTTCCATTTTAGACTTCTGTAAACTTTTCACACAGCATATTGTATCTTAAATCACAAAAGAACCTTAACAGAAGAGCATACTTCAGCAAAGTATGCCACAATACTGCACACTAAAGTCCCTTCACTAAAACTATTCAAGATCCGTAACAGACAAAAAATAATAACGTTAAATAAGCAAATGGAAGTCAACATTGCATATGAGCAGCCGTACAGTGTATCATCTAAGTTCCTTGTCAGTATTTTGGAAACATAAGTTTTACATTTTTAGGATTTAGCATGGACACTCTGTTTAAATAAACTAGAACTAGTCCTCCTTTATAAGAGGTTCCTCTTTTATTCACCTCTCATTTTGTAGTATACAAAAAGAAAAAAATGTAACTGAAAGGTTTACTGGCAAGTAAACCACTATAGTAATTACACAGGCATATGGCATAACAAAAAACAAACCAGAAAAAAACTGCTACTACCTCTGAAAATAGGCAAATATTGTCTGCTCTGCTGAGAGTCCTCTAACCATTGGATGCAATTCCCATTTGTTAACCTCACTGTCTGGTTCATTCTGTTGCCCTTCCTTCTTGTTATCTCCTCTTTCTTTCGTTCTCTTCGTATTCTTTCCTAGTAACACTCTTCCTTTAAGATCAGATTCTCCAGTAAATGCACTCTTTTTTTTTTTTCCTCCTAGTAATTTATTACTTTGTCTTCCTTTTTTGTTTATCATATGTAAGCAAAAACTAAGATGGAACTCCAGCAACACCTCCTCTTTTACCGTTGTACTGATAACTTCTGCAGTCTGTCACACACTTATTGGTGCTGACACTGATTTTCCCACATACTTTTTCTGTGACACAGCCGCAGGATGGTTGAGTTGGTTTTAAGTTGTGAGTTCATTAAGATAGCAGTTGTGTACCTCTCTCCATTTAATATGAAAAACTGAACTTTTATTCTCAAATAAATCTTCTGCAACTACTACAATGACTGAAAACAATACAATAATTAAATTTTAATAACAGCTACTATATAGATGAAGTTGTTAATGTAACTGGAAGAAGAGCGATATTTTTTCACATCACTGATCAATAGACTTCAGCATCAGGAAATTCAGGGTTATACACGGCATGCAGGGACAATACTGTAGCATCAATTCTTTCTTTCCTTCTTAGCGGTCCAGCCAAAGCTTCTGTATTCATCCATTGATATAAAGTTACCCATGCAGTTCAGGCTCTATTTGATTTGGTCTCAAGACATTTCAGCCACATAGTAAATAGGGCAAAATTGTATTAGGCCAATTGTGCAAGTCAGATAGACCTCCTTTTTAATGGCTTTTAAACAAAATACTGGTAACATAAAGATTAAAAGATACAGGAGGCGATGATTTAAGAACTAAAAGAAGGATATCTGGCACTGAATGATTAAAAACATATTTAATTTTTTTAATTGTACTTAAAAGTCTATTTTCTGCTCTATACCTACTTACAAATTAAAAACACAAACAACAGAACAGAGTTAAAATTGAGAATATACATTTCAGACTGCTGAGGTGGCCCAACAGTTCCTAGCTCGTGACCATCGGTTATTAAGAAAAACTATTTAGTGGCTGGAAGGTTTATAATACCAGTGCCCAATTCTTGTCTTTCATTCCAAAATGCTAGACAGAAAAAAAACCCTCCCACTGTGAATAACTCTGAATGATATATTCAAGCTCTTATCCTGCTTGTTTCAACCCTCCCTCCTTAAAGGACTCCACTGAAGTCATCAGCCCCCCTGGATGATGCTATGATCCATCTTGAGAAACCCAGTAGCAGAACTGAGGGGTTCCTTTGGTTGTTGAAACGGCGTTGACTATATGAGTTACCAGATGAGTTGGTTAAACTGACCTTTGTGTGTTTTCTGGGACTGCAACGTCAACGACAAGACCAGGGAGGGGAGCTTATGAAGAGAACGCCTCTTGCCAAACCTCTACACTGACTTAACAACTGGAGAATTACATGAGTGATAGACAGCTACCGACATTGTCACTGTTGTAAGATTAAGAGACATTAAAGCAAGTATCACTGGCACAGAATTCACAACAATCACATTTATTTTATTGCTCTACTTAACACAGTGGGGATTTGCCTTTTTCAAAAGCAACTATAACTCTTCAGTTGTTCAATTTAAAAATATTGCTGCCAACCACTGGCAGAAGCAAAATCTTTCACGTCTGCGTTTAGAATCTAGAAAGTATCTTAAAAGACAACATTGTGTAACAGCTCTTTTGCACTTTGAAATATGATCACTGTTTGATTTCTATTGCTATAACTTGATTTTCATTTATTTACACTGCTTATTAAAAAAGTAATAAATGAATAGATATTTTTAACAAGCTACATAGCTTCCATACAATCAAAGTACAATCAAACTCTTCAAAGTTATACTTTAAAAAGCATGTTACTGTAAGCACTTTGCAAATATATTAAACCTATTTTATTATAGCTAGTTTTAAGGAATTCTTCAACCCAGAACACTCCCTCTTCAATGATGCTTTGTATAGCTCAAAGGAATCTCTATACCTTATGAAACTAATCATAAATCAATAATGACCTGTTCATTTTAAATTAAATTATTAAGTTTACAAAGAAGCTCTTAAAAACTATCAGTTACTAAAAGAAAAGTAAAACACATACAAGCTAGATTACTCACCGGGTCTTCTTTAGTGCCTAGTCCGTCATAATGCATTACACCAAGCTGGTACATAGCTTGAAAATCTGTATCCTTGATTTTTTCAAATTGTATTAACGCTTCTTCATACCAACCCTGAAAAAGACAAAATAAACAATGAAGTACATCATAGAATGAAAAGAGTACACACTGCTGGCTAAACTCTCCAGTACATACCCTCCGACAGTTTTTCAGATTGGAACATTTTCCTCAGGAACAAAGAACAAAAGATTGCACCCACAGAAGTGACAGACAAGAGAAAGCGTTTGTCCTTACCCTGGCATAGGATAGGTCAACAACAACAAAAACATTTACTAGGACGGAAGCACTCAGGGCTTACAGACAAGGTTGGTGTCACTGTTTATAAAAATCCCTAAATACAAATAGTGGCATACAAACATAATCCTTGAAACCAACAGAGGTCCTGACAACCCTCTTTTCCTCTCCAAAAATGCTGTCTTTGTTATGTAAGGAGTTACTAGTTTAATTCAGATGCCCTGTCCTATATGACATACATACCTGAATTTAGGTGAGCCACTCTTACACCTCAAGGTGTAAGAACCTGCTTTTACATCTCAACTAAGGATTGTTTAGATGTTTAAAAAGCTTGTGGACCCAGCAGTCAGCCCCTCATTACTTATGAAGAGACCACCTGCAGCAGCAGAGAAATCAGAAGCACATGAGAAGCAAGTGTTCAGAATAAACCTGTGCCACTTTCAAGAGACCTTAATTTGATGGCCTGTAAACTGCAATGATTCAAAAGCTGCTTTATATGAAATTCAGCTATGTGTCTGCCAGGAGAGAGGGAGGATGCATGGTTAGAAGAACTGCTTCTGCTTTCTTTAGTGCGTCTCATTTGAGCCAACACCCAAAGATTTGCCTTTGCTATCCTGCAGGTTTTTGCTATCAATGTTTCTTTCTTTCTTTCTACATAGGTACAGGTGATAAGGAATATACAGTGACAAAGTATACCAATAGATATCAAAATTCATACTATCGCTTTCCCCAGATCTCATTTTTCTTCCTCTCTCTCCTCATTTATCCTGCCTGTAATGACCTCACATAATCTGCCTTCACGATAAAACGAAGATGCCCTAGTTTAAGTAAGTAAGGCTTTTTTGGTAGACTTGAATTACTGAAGAAATAAGGCTTCTGCAAATGGGATCTATCTGCTCTCCTCGGACTTCTTTTTCTCCCTATAAACATTTCAAATCTTTTGGTTAATTTCAACCAAATTTGAAAGGAACACGAGTATCTCAAAGATCATTTCTTTCCTCTGATTTTGTGAAAATCCATGGATACATGTGATGATCTAAATTAATGCCACCTTCAAGAGGAAGTAATTAAAGTACTCTACAAAAATTTTGTTGGGCCAGTTAATACTTGCCTTGCTTTAAGAGTCCTTCTCATAGTATATATACGCCCTGCCATGACATTAAAGCAATACTTGGGGAAGCTGCATGTAAAGAAGTGGAGAGGAAGGAGGCAGAAGGAGAAAAGTCCTTGATCAGCAGGAAGTCACTATTTCCACCGACACCTAGCAACCTGGTTTTACATTAGCTGTTATGTTTTGCATTGGCTGTTTGCACTTTGTTTGGACCTTTAAGAAAGAATCTTAAAGAGTGCTTGCTTCTGTGTTAATGCAAAGAACAAATATTAAAGAATACATAGTAAAACAACAGCTATGTAATAGTTAATTGAAGAACTGGTGTCCCTGATAAAGTGTTTGTATGTATGCATATGAAAATATTAAATAAAAACAATATTCCAAATTAAAATGTTATTCTCTATACTTTTCCTTCAAATTTTCGGTATGCTTTGGCAAAATAATACTAGATTGCAAAAGTGTAGAATTCAGCAATTGTTTGATGGTCGGTCAAACACCCTTAGAGTGACAAAATGCCCCCTTTTAATACTGTCCAAACTCCTAATTGGCTAAACTGTTCCTTAGAGCTTATGACTGTGCTTTTTTCTTTTTTTCTATAGCACTCTGGAAAAACGATGTCTTTTTACAATTAGCTGACATGAGCATCAGCAAAATAAATTACAAGAGGCAAGTACCTTCACACATCAGTTCCAGTGAGCTGGAAAATGCAACAGCATATAAAAATATTTAAAATCTCATCAATACGTGAGAGAAACACAGTTAAGTGACATGTTCAGGTAGAAGATCTACAAATCTTGTTGGAAGCTGCTTTCCAACACAGAGATAGCGATCATTTTTCCCCTCTTCCCTGAGCAGGTGGAGGGATGTACATCCCAGTGTAGCACCTTTCCTGAGCATTTAGTGCTATAAAGAAGAGTCATATGGCTCTCATCAGGCAATATTTTGAAGCGTCTGAAATTGCTATACTATGAGAATATGCGTTTTTAGGCAATATAAATACATGTCCAAAAATCTTGGAAATAAAATCTGCTTGAAGAATAAGTTTAGGCATGGACAGCAATACATTACATGGACATCTAAGCCGACTCATCAAGAGAGAGGTAAGCTGCTCCATGGGGTCAGTCTTGCTCATGCCAAAATCGGCAAATTCAGTAATGAAACTGCTAAGGAGGATAGGGCCCAGAAAGCAGAAATCCTGCATGAGTTCATTGTACTCCCACTGCAAACAGCGAGGCTGCTTTACACTGTGCCACTAAGTGCACTGTAAACAGTATTGCATCCACGCCACATTTGAAAATATATGAATCAGAACTTTTAACAGATCCCTTTTCACCCTTCTTAACTGAATTAGTCTAAGGATTCATGTCCTTAGACTTACCTACGTGTAGAGTCATGTATTTTTTTTAATCTGGTTTCACAGGGAAGTGAGGTTTATGTTCATCTGCCAGCCAGTCTGACACGGCTCCCCAGGCATTTACTTTCAAATACATGGGCCTATTTTAGCCAAAGTGATCAGGGACAGAAAGACAGTATGTACGAGCAAGTTTCATGAAAAACCGGTAGCTGGGCAAAGAACAAAGACTGGAAGCGATGTCATGGCTCAGGGAGCATTAGGGCTTAACAGAAAGCACGGTTTGTTCTGTTTGGCCAGTAAGCTGACCAAAAAACAGCTCAGCTTGAACTTAGCCGCAGGATAGGCTGCCACTCACTTAATCTGATCCTCAGGAGACCTAGGAGGGGAACTGGAGGACACCACTGGATGCTTGGGGCAAGTGTTGGAAAAAAACTTATTTGGGGAAATCTGCTGATTTTCATGGGAAAAAAAAACATGTTTAGGCATCTCTTACAGTTTTTTGAAGAGCCTCCTTTTCCACTGAACTTGTACTGAGAATTGTCACCTTTATAATATTTAAAAAAGTAAACTACAACCTCTTCATAGTACAGCTGTCCTTTTAGAAAATACGCCGTCGGATCTCCATCTTTTATTCTCTTCTCCAACATCTCCTCTGCTTTTGCAAATAAAGCAGCATGGCTGCCGTTCTCTGCT